TCCAACAACTACACTGGAAACACTCTGCAAGAAATGGTTAAAATTACTAGCATGAAAATCCAAACAGAAAAATAGGTGTTGAAAATTACACTATACACTAACCACACCAATCATATTTGTTTTTAAAAAATGTATAAAGATACACCTATCCACGCAATAAAACTATGAATCACGGAGGAAGGAGAATAAGAAGAAGAAGAAGAATGGAACATCTAAGTCATGATTTATGAAAACTTCATGGAACACCTATCAATCCTCGACTAAAATCTAGTAATGATTTATGAAAATTTCATGGAACATCTAAGTCATGATTACCATTAATTCTCGTCTAAAAGTAATTACTTATGAAAACTTCATTATTATTAAAAACAAATCTTTCAACAGAGCCATGCTCTTTTAAACCTCAAGAGGATGGAACATTTCCAAGAGTATCTTTACTCAGACTTGCAATTGTGGGGGGATTCTACTAGAAAAATAAACAGTACTCCTTTTTTTCCTATCTCTACGAAATCTTGTCATTGTTAAGTCAGATATTATGAGATTTTCCTTTTTTTAGTTATCTTGTCTTGTCCCTGCAGAAATCACAGTTTGATGCATGGAAATTATTTTATCCCAGTAAAAACAAGAGAAAATTGTATCCATTAGACCTCTCCAATGCATTGCTGCACTGAACTTATAAACATGACTTGAAATGTAAATAAATCACATTACCATTTCTTCAACTCCAAGAGAAATCAAGATCCTTCTCTATGGAAATTCCTTCAAATCCTCAACGCCTTTAAAATCATGGATTCTTCTCCCTATCAATCCATATCCTACGCCACACCTATAATGTATTGCTTGTTGCATGAATAGACAGGGCGGGGGAAAAAGGGTTTTTGCTCTATATTCTGTGTCCAATGGGAGAGGAAGGAGGAAATTTAGGAGTGGCGAGTGAAGGGTTTAGAGAAATCAAATGGGGAAGAGACCCCTGTCGATCAAAATCGTTCGATTTCTCCCCCGATCGAAATAGCTCAAACCCTTCTGCAACTTTCCCTTTCCCAGCGTAAAGACGGCCGGAAACCCTCTCGCTCTCAAATCACTCGCTCTATCTCTCCCGTGCGGCAACGGAATTGAAATGGCTATATCGCATTTTATTCAAAATCTCCCTCTCTCTCTCTTTCTCTCCCTTGTGCGTAAGCGGTGCTCACGTAAAACAATGCAGGAGATTGCAGCTCCGCTGAGATGCATGGGCAATTGGAGTAGGGTGTACACATATATATAGAAAATAGCTAATGCATTTTGTTGTAATGACTAGAGCTGACAAATCGGTCGGTCAGGTCGGGTTCGGTCATTTAAAGTTTGGGTTATTTTGGGTTCGGATCAATTCAGGTTTGGATTGAGAACTGTATGTTCATGACCTAGTGTCATCGAGATCGGGTCAACCCAACGGGTTATGACTTTGGTTTTTTAAATTTTTAAATTCACATTAACACTTACATTTTCTATTAAATAAATTTAAAATATCAAAAAAAAATTAATCTACAAAATTATTTTATTTTACACTCTAAAGTAGTTTTTAGATATATAAATCAATATAAGGAATTTAAAAATGCTTAAGTTTTGGAAAAAAGTAAGATAATTATATAATATCATTAAAATTTTGTTTGAAAATATAAATTTATACACTAAAAACAAGTAAAAAAGTGTATAATTTTGAAAAAATCTTACTTTAGCGGGTCGATCATGTCGGGTTCGGGTTTGGTCGGGTTTGACCCATTTTTAGCGGGTCATTTCGGGTTCAGTCATCAAAACCTTTGTTCAAAACCCAGTGTTTTCAGGTCGGGTTTCGGGTCAAAAACAGGTCAGGTCACTTTTTGTCAGGTCTAGTAGTAACTAAGGGATATTCCATCAAATATTTTGTTGTAATGACTGGGAAAGGATATTCCATCCAATATTTCATTTTGTTATAATGACTAGGAAGGAATACACCATCCAACATTTCATCCATTAATGTTAATAAAAATATTCTTTCCTATTTTTTCCTTAATGTTTTATGATAATAATTCTTAGGTTTTTTTTTATTTTTTATTTTTCTTTTTTTACTCTTTTTTAAAGTTTTTTTTAGAATTTATCTATAAAATCGTATAAAAATTCAAAAATGTATGATATAAAAATAAATGATGACCTTTGTGTGCTTGAGAACAGAATACAATCTAAGATATGTTGAGAAACATGCAGAGAGAAACTCACATGAAAAGTTCAGCCACAGTTTTAAGATGGAAGTGAGACTAATCATCCTTAGGTTCTGCAGAATCAGGCTCGCTTCCCTTCACAAATTCAATGTTGCCCAAGAGAAGTATTGCAGCCACAACTCTAAAAATGGCATCCTGCCAATGGATTTATTAATAGCATCTTCACCAGGCCATCCTTTTATAAATAATAGTGTTTTGATTCTAATAACTGAACGTCAGAACTGATCCCTACAACATCCATGGCTCACCTGGTGGCGAGGTATTCTTTAGATTCATCCACTTCGTCCAATTCAAAAAATTTTGACTGGTTTAGATAATGAAATTTCCTAGGATTCCCCAATTTGTACTTTTCAACATCCTGATAACAATTATTTGAAAAGGAATAAAGTATGAATGAATGAAACAGGAGTAGAAGTTATGGTAATAAGTGTGATACTCTAAAGTTGATGATTAATAATTGGGGATCATGAATATAGTCACTTTTAGGAAACAAGTTGAAGAGTTGACATAAACAATCTAACATCTTGGAGGACAATTATTGGTCAGAATTTAGATGATATGACACGCCTAGCTGTAGAAAAAGATTGTACAGGGCAGTGGGGCAAGTGAACATTGAACAAGGACTCAAATTCACTACTACCTCGTCCAAAAATGAAGTTCCCCTTCACTATTCACATGGTCAACTTTTTCCACTTTCTTTGCATCTTTACGTTACTCATTAGATAAAATTATATATCATGTTCCCCTTCTTGTTTAATAGAATCTTTGATGTAGTTTTCAAATATAAAAATTTTATTTTTATGAAAGCTATAAATTTATTTTTTAATTCCACGCCGATTTTCAAATAAATTTCAATGAAAATAACTTTAGTTAAGCATCGTAGACCGCAATGGGAACTTCACTTTGGAACGAGGTAATATTTTACTAGTTGTAAAATCGATAAAAAAATGTGTCCTTCGAAACAACAAATTCAATGCTAAAAACACTTATTTGTAAATAATGGTACAAAATATATGATGCTTCACTTGTAGTGAATCTCTTTATGTTTCTACCTTATATTATTTTCCTTATTTTGGTATTC